AATGGCCAACCTGCAGTCCAGATCTTTCACCTATAGAGAACATTTGGCGCATCATAAAGAGGAAGTTGCGACAAAGAAGGCCCAAGATGATTGAACAGTTAGAGGCCTGTATTAGACATGAATGGGAGAGCATTCCTATTTCTACACTTGAGAAACTGGTCTCCTCTGTCCCCAGACGTTTGTTGAGTGTTGTAAGAAGAAGGGGGGATGCCACACAGTGGTAAAAATGGACTTATCCCAACTTTTTTGGGATTTGTTGACGCCATGAAATTTGGAAACAACAGATTTTTCCCTTAAAATGATCCATTCTCTGTTTAAACTTTTTATCTGCGATTTGTGTTCTATTCTGAATAAAATATTAGATGTTGGCACCTCCACATCGTTGCATTCAGTTTTTATTCACAATTTGTTTAGTGTCCCAACTTTTTTGGAATCCGGTTTGTATGTACAGGTCCTTCTCAAAAAATTAGCATATTGTGATAAAGGTCATTATTTTCCATAATGTAATGATAAAAATGAAACTTTCATATATTTCAGATTCATTGCACACCAACTGAAATATTTCAGGTCTTTAATTGTTTTAATTCTGATGATTATGGCATACAGCTCATGAAAACCCAAAATGCCTGTCCCAAAAAATTAGCATATCATGAAAAGATTCTTTAAACAAGCTATTAACCTAACCATCTGAATAAACGACGTAACTCTAAACACCTGCAAAAGATTCCTGAGGCTTTTAAAAACTCCCAGCCTTGTTCATTACTCAAAATCGCAATCATGGGTAAGACTGCCGACCTGACTGCTGTCCAGAAGGCCATCATTGACACCCTCAAGCAAGAGGGTAAGACACAGAAAGAAATTGCTGAACGAATAGGCTGTTTCCAGAGTGCTGTATCAAGGCACCTCAGTGGGAAGTCTGTGGGAAGGGAAAAGTGTGGCAGAAAACGCTGCACAACGAGAAGAGGTGACCGGACCCTGAGGAGGATTGTGGAGAAGGGCCGATTCCAGACCTTGGGGGACCTGCGGAAGCAGTGGACTGAGTCTGGAGTAGAAACATCCAGAGCCACCATGCACAGGCGTGTGCAGGAAATGGGCTACAGGTGCCGCATTCCCCAGGTCAAGCCAATCTTGAACAAGAGACTGCGTCAGAAGCATCTCGCCTGGGACTGCTGCTGAGTGGTCCAAAGTTATGTTCTCTGATTACAGTAATATTTGCATTTCCTTTGGAAATCAAGGTCCCAGAGTCTGGAGGAAGAGAGGAGACACAGAATTCACATTGTTTGAGGTCCAGTGTCAAGTTTCCACAGTCACTGGGGTGCCATGTCATCTGCTGGTGTTGGTCCACTGTGTTTTATCAAGGGCAGGGTCAATGCAGCAGCTATCAGGAGATTTTGGAGCACTTCATGCTTCCATCTGCTGAAAAGCTTTATGGAGATGAAGATTTCATTTTTCAGCACGACCTGGCACCTGCTCACAGTGCCAAAACCACTGGTAAATGGTTTACTGACCATGGCATTACTGTGCTCAATTGGCCTGCCAACTCTCCTGACCTGAACCCCATAGAGAACCTGTGGGATATTGTGAAGAGAAAGTTGAGAGACGCAAGACCCAACACTCTGGATGAGCTTAAGGCCGCTATCGAAGCATCCTGGGCCTCCATAACACCTCAGCAGTGCCACAGGCTGACTGCCTCCATGCCACGCCGCGTTGAAGCAGTCATTCATGCAAAAGGATTCCCGACCAAGTATTGAGTGCATAACTGAACATGATTATTTGAAGGTTGGCGTTTTTTGTATTAAAAACACTTGTCTTTCATTGGTGGGATGAAATATGCTAATTTTTTGGGACAGGCATTTTGGGTTTTCATGAGCTGTATGCCATAATCATCAGTATTAAAACAATTAAAGACCTGAAATATTTCAGTTGGTGTGCAATGAATCTGAAATATATGAAAGTTTCATTTTTATCATTACATTATGGAAAATAATGACCTTTATCACAATATGCTAATTTTTTGAGAAGGACCTGTATATATATATATGTATATGTGTATATATATATATGTATATGTGTATATATATATATATATATATACACACACACAGACGTGTACATAAGGGTCATGTAAAAATTCCATCACAAACTGCTTTTTTTAGCGGCTGTAGATTTTTTTTGAAACTCTTTAACATCACAATGTATGTTTTTTTTTAAATAATTTATTTGTGTTATTGCTGCAAATAAGTATTTGAACATCTGCCAATCAGCAACAATTCTGGCCCTCAACAACCTGCTACTCCACCTGCACTTATTATTCTAAATTAGAAGCAGCTGTTTGAGGTCGTTAGCTGCATAAAGACACCTGTCCACCCCACACAATCAGTAAGACTCCAACTACTAACATGGCTAAGACCAAAGAGCTGTCCAAAGACACCAGAGACCAATTGTAGACCTCCACAAGGCTGGAAAGAGCTACGAGGCAATTACAAGCAGCTTGGTGAAAACAGATCAACTGTGTGAGCAACTATTAGAAAATGGAAGAAGCTAAACATGACTGTCAATCTCCCTCGGACTGGGGCTCCATGCAAGATCTCACCTCGTGGCGTATCAATGATCCTAAGAAAGGTGAGGAATCAGCCCAGAACTACACGGGACGAGCTGGTCCATGACCTGAGGAGAGCTGGCACCACTGTTTCCATGGTTACTGTGGGTAATACACTAAGATGTCATAGTTTAAAATCATGCATGGCACGGAAGGTTCTCCTGCTTAAATCAGCACACGTCCAGGTCCGTCTTAATTTTGCCCACGACCATCTGGATGATCCAGAGGACCCTCGCTACTTCGCAGTTCGACTTTCATGGACTCACTCTTTCTCTGTGTTTTTAAAATAAGATTGGACATGACACACAACTGGCTGATTGATGGATGAGCTGCACGAGCGGCATGGGTTGTTTATTTAAAATGAATTATTTAAAATAATTTAGCACCTGCTAAATCATTAGGTGCAGGGAGAAGCTCCCTCCTGCAGCCTGTCATGATCTCCTCCTCTGCCACATGCACATTTCTGCTCCATGCTGCAGCAGCTTTGTTTAACCCTTTGCTGTCCAGATGCACCGATACACTTTTGTCTTTCAACTTAAAATTCAAAGTATTTCACATCGTAAAATCAACATAATCACAAAATCTAAAATTGTTAAAAGTTATTTTTAATTGTTTTAGAACTTTTGTGTTCAGTTATTTCAGTGCAAATGATCAAGAAGAACATTTGTGCTCCGTGCTGCAGAGCTGCATGAAGGGTTAACCCGCTGGATTGTTTATTTTTTAAACATTACAGTATTTAAATTTAAATAGTTTATTTGCACAGAAGGAGGGAGATTGGGAGCAGTTGATGAGTGTGATGGTAGCAGAGAAGTGGGCTGGCAGAGAGTGCATGACATGCCGAGTTCTTAGAGTGTTTAGAGTTTATAACATTGTTTAGAATATTGCAAGATTATGGGAAGGGTTTATAAAGCCTTTATATATATATATATACTGTATATATGTACTAAAATACTACTATTATTTGTATTACTACTCCTACTTCACGATTTTTCATATTCATGTGTGTGTGGTGGTGGTGGTGGTGGTGGTGGTGGTGGTGGGGGGGGGGGGGTCTCTAATCCCTGCAGGAAACGAGGGACTACTGTATAAGCTGCAAGTGTTCATGTTGTAACATAAGATATTTACACAGAAAGCTATTTTAAACTTTTAATTAAATAAGTACCAGTAACACACAAAAATGGCGGCTGTGGCTGACTGGTTAGAGCAGTCGTCCTCCAATGCAAGAGTTGGGAGTTCGATTCCACCAGCAGTCACATGCCGAAGTGCCCCTGGGCAAGACACTGAACCCTCATTGCCTCTGATGTGTGTCCCATCAGTGCATGAATGTGTTAAAGCTCTGATTATTCTTTGTGGAGATCTAGCAGAGTGCTGTATGAATGAGTAAATGAGGCACAGATTGTGTTGTAAAGAACTTTGAGTGTCTTGATAAGAAAGAAAGCGCTAGATAAGGACAGTCCGTTTACCATTTACAAATACGTACAGTACGGCAATTTTTTTTTCTTTCTGAGCAATGCCTTTAGTATGGCTGGTTAAAAAAAATACAGTAGCTTTCCAGGATGTCACTGATCACTATCTTCAAGCTGTACCTTCTGCTCCACGGAGCAAAGTTGCTCTGTGAGCATGTGAGACTCACTTGCTCTGCGCATGCAGGGAAATCCCCCCTCAGGATTCTAAAATGTCAAGTTGTCATAACAAAGACATTTTAAACAATGTCAACTGTGCATTAAAGGTGTCATAATTCACCGAATGACACTTAATGACACCAACAGTCATGAACATTCATAAAGACTCGCTCATGTTCATGACAGGCGTTATGTCGTGTTTGACGGTGTCATGTCAGTTTTATGCACACCTTTTCAAATAAGGCGTTGCCAAAAAAATCTTCTGCTGTCGAGTGTGGTTCCTTTTGTGTAACGTAACGTAAAGCAAGACCAACAATTTCATGACCAAATTCAGTCATTTTTGAAGCCATGTTGTCCAGTAAAGATATTTTTGAGTAAGGAGTTTGTAATCTGCAGGTGTTCAGATCAGATGATTATGAATCGCATGCTGTCACTCCACACAGACACCAAATACAAAGCTCTGCTCATCAACTGAAATCAAGCTGAACATTTGCAGACTGGGCTGTGGAAATAGGTCACAAATACCCCTCCTCCACATGCTCACAGATTGAGGCTGGAAAGGTTTTGTGGGTGTAATCCTAAAGATTTGACCCCCTCAGCCATGGTTGTGATCATCCAGACCAATTTAAGCACACAGTCTGTGCTCCTTCCATCATCTGTCAGCACTTCTTCTCAGGAAGCTCATCCACCCAGTTAAAGCAGAGCCGTGTTCCTGAGTTGGTAGTAATTTGTTTTTTCTTTCTGTTTGCAGATAAAGCAAGATGGGCAAAGGCTGCTTGATGGCAAGCAAATACTTCCTGTTCCTCTTCAACGTCATTTTCTTTGTGAGTATCTCACCTTTTTAACACTAAACATCAGCTGTCACTTGAAGGACCAGATACTGGAGATCCAGACCTGCAGGTTCACAAACAGTTGTGATTTGAAAAAGTATGGGCCTGTAAAATCTGCTTTAATGTTATTAATATTTATTATCTCTCTGAATTCCATGTTTTATGATATAACCAAATTTTTTTAAAAAGATTGTCCTTATTATCCATCCATCCATCCATCCATCCATCCATCCATCCATCCATTATCTTTACCCGCCTCTTCCTTTTTGGGTCGTGGGGTCACTGGTGTCCATATTCAGCAGTCACTGTGTGTGAGGTGGGAACACCCTGGACAGGTCTCTAGCCCATCACAGGACACCTGGACAGGTCTCTAGCCCATCACAGGGACACCTGGACAGGTCTCTAGCCCATCACAGGGACACCTGGACAGGTCTCTAGCCCATCACAGGGACACCTTGACGGTTGTTTTTGGTCTGTGGGAGGAAACCAGAGTACCTGGTACTTGTTGATTTGCTTTGTTTTGTTTTTTTGAATGTCCAGAGGACCAGATTTAACTTTTTTAGATTCAAGTGCATTGTTACTATATCAGGAGTGGTGGACCAACAAAGATCACTCCAAGAACAATGCGTATCGGTGAGGTCACAAAGGACCCCAGGGTAACTTCTAAGCAGCTGAAGGCCTCTCTCACATTGACTGATGTTGATGTGAATGTTTTTTGAAGCCTTAAGGTGTTAAAAGTTACTTAAAAATATAACCCTGCCAAGTGTCAGTGAGTAGTTATGGTTTGTTTTAGAAAAAGATTTATTTCTGTGAATGACCTGCGGCATATAGACAGGTGCATCTTGTTTATGTACAAAATCATCCATTATCTTCCGCTTGTTCCGAAGTCGGGTCGCAGGGGCAGCACCTTGAGCAGGGAGGCCCAGACATCTCTTTCCACAACCACCTCTTCCAGCTCTTCTGGGAGGATTCCAAGGCGTTCCCAGGCCAATGAGAGACTTAGTGTGCATTCACACTAGCCCTGTTTAGTCCGCTTTAATCGAACTCTAGCTCGTTTTCCTAGAAAGTCCGGCTCGTTTAGGGAGGTGTGAACGCGCACCATCGAACTCTGTCACGGAACAAAAAGGCGAACTCTGACCCGGGCTAAAACCTAGGTCTCGGTCCGGTAGAAGCGAACTCCAGCGCGGTTCGAGTACAGTGTGAATGTAAACAGACCGAGCCCCGCTCTGCAGGGTAAACAAACACGCATTTCTCTGACCTTATATGGAGCCGTCAGCTGCCTTGTGTGAAAAACAATATTCTCCATGGTCTTCTGTCTCATCTTCTGCTCATGCTAAGTCCATTTTTGAAAAATGACAAAATATAACTCCTAAAACTGCTAAAACTTGATGCCACTTCGTTTTTATTTTTATTTACAGAAGAAGAAGAAGACGTGTCTTCAGAGGTTTTTGTGTCGTTTCTTTCAGTAGTTCTTGGTGCAGCGCCCCCACAGGCGAGCGGGGCAATAGGTTGGTTCAACAGGTTGACTCGACTGCACAGTGCAGTGTGAATGCAAACGCACCAGCTCAAATGTAAAGAAAAGCTCATGAATATTGGTCCCGAACCGAACCGAGTCTACCGGACTATCTAGTGTGAAAACGACCATAGTCTCTCCAACGTGTCCTGGGTCTTCCCCGGGGCCTCCTCCCAGTCGGACATGCCCGAAGCACCTCCCAAGGGAGGCGTCCAGGGGGCATCCTTAGCAGATGCCCGAACCACCTCAACTGGCTCCTCTCAATGTGGAAGAGCAGCGGTTCTACTCGGAGTCTCTCCCGGATAACCGAACTTCTCACCCTATCTCTAAGGGAGAATCCAGCTACCCTGCGGAGGAAACTCATTTCAACCGGCTGTATCCATGATCTCATTCTTTCGGTCATTACCCAGAGCTCGTGACCATAGGTGAGGGTAGGAACGTAGACCAACTGGTAAACAGAGAGTTTGCCTTACAGCTCAGCTCTCTCTTCACCACAACGAACTGGTACAGAGTCCGCAATACTGCAGATGCTGCACCAATCCGTCTGTCGGTCTCACGCTCCATTCTTCCCTCACTCGTGAAAAAACCCCGAGATACTTGAACTCCTCCACTTGAGGCAGAACCTCACCCTCGATCTGGAGAGAGCAATCCACCCTTTTCCGGTTGAAGACCATGGCCTCAGATTTGGAGGTGCTGATTCTCGTCCCAGCTACTTAACACTCTGCTGCGAACTGCTCCAGTGAGAGCTGAAGATCACGGCACGATGACGCCAACAGGACCACATCATCTGCAAAGAGCAGAGATGGAATCCTGAGGCCACTCTCCGCCCATTGGCTGCACCGAGAAATTCTGTCCATAAAAGTTATGAGCAGAATCGGTGACAACGGGCAGCCCTGGCAGAGTCCCAACTCTCACCCTTAAGAGGTCCGACTTACTGCCGGCAATGCAAACCAAGCTCTCACACCACTTGTATAGGGACTGAACAGCCCGTAGCAACGGGCCACCAATCCCATACTCACGGAGCACCCCCAACAGTGTACCTCGAGGAACATGGTCAAATGCCTTCTCCAAATCCACAAAACACATGTAGACTGGATGGGCAAACTCCCATGACCTCTCAAGGGCCCTAGTGAGGGTAAAGAGCTGATCCAGTGTTCCACGGCCAGGACGGAACCCACATTGTTCCTCCTGGATCTGAGGTTTGACCAACGATCGGACTCGCTTCTCCAGTACCCCTGAATAGACCTTACCAGGGAGGCTGAGGAGAGTGATGCCCCTATAATTGGAGCACACCCTCCAGAGGGGAACTACCACCCCAGTTTGCCAATCCAGTGGCACTGTCCCTGATGTCCATGCGACGTTGCAAAGGCATGTCAACCAAGAAAGCCCCACAACATCCAGAGCCTTAAGAAAATCAGGGTGAATCTCATCCACTCCCGGAGCCCTGCCGCCTTGGAGCTTTTTAACTACCTTGGCGACTTCAGCCACAGTTATGGATGCATCAATCCCAAAGTCCCCCGACTCAGCTTCCTCCATAGAAGACGTGCTGATTGAGAAGGTCCGAGAAGTATTCCTTCCACCTCCCGACAACATCACTGGTTGAGGTCAACAGCAACCCACCTTCACTGAATACAGTGTTAGTAAAGTGCTGCTTTCCCCTCCTCAGCCGTCTGATGGTTTGCCAGAATCTTCTCGGAGCCAACCGTGAGTCATTATCCAAGGTCTCACCGAACTCTTCCCACATCCGAGCTTTTGCCTCAGAAACAGCCAAGGCTGCGGACCGCTTGGCCCTCCAGTACTCCTCAGCTGCCTCCAGAGTCCCACTGGCCAACAAGGCCCAATAGGACTCCTTCTTCAGCTTGACAGCCTCCCTAACCCGGGGTGTCCACTACCGAGTTTGTGGATGGCCTTGACGAGAAGCACCGACAACCTTGCGGCCACAGCTCAAGGCAGCCACCTCAACAAGCGAGGTGCGGAACATGGCCCACTTAGACTCATTGTCCCCCACCTCAGCAGGGATGCGGTTAAAGCTCTCTCGGAGGTGCGAGTTGAAGATCTCTCTGACGGGTTCTTCTGCCAAGCATTCCCAGCAAACCCTCACTACATGTTTGGATGTACCAGGTCTGTCTGGCATCTTCCCCGCCATCTGATCCAACTCACTACCAGGTGGTGATCAGTTGACAGCTCAGCTCCTCTCTTCACCCGAGTGTCCAAAACAAACGGCTGCAAATCAGATGACACGACTATGAAGTCTATCATCGATCTACGACCTAGGGCGTCCTGGTGCCAAGTGCACTTATGGACACCCTTATGTTCGAACATGGTGTTTGTGATGGAAAAACTATGACTAGCACAGAAGTCCAACAACAGAACACCACTCGGGTTCAGATCAGAGAGGTCGTTCCTCCCAATCACACCCCTCCATGTCACACTGTCATTACCCACGTGGGAATTGAAGTCCCCCAGCAGAATAAAGGCAGCTGAAGGCCTCACTCACATTGACTGATGTTGACGTGAATGTTTTTCAAAGCCTTAATGTGTTAAAAGTTACTTAAAAATATAACCCTGCCAGATGTCAATGAGTAGTTATGATTTATTTAAGAAAGAGATTTATTTCAGTGAATGTCCTGCGGCATATACACAGGTGCATCTTGTTTATGTACAAAATTGAGTTCTATTTCGTATAGGCGTAGCCCTTTAAGGTCCTCGCTAGTGGGTTTTATCCCGTCACGTGAAGCGTAGCACTGAAAACTTTCGTCCACGCCCACCTGTTGTGTGGGCCTCACCCAGTCCCCCCCGCTCCGCTGCCGGCCCCTCCCGCCAGAGAACAGTCCTTCTCATCGCAGCAACCAGCGGCGCAGCATTTCCCCAGAGACCGCCAACAGGCACCGCCCTGGAAAAACCAGCCGCAGTGCTCACGGGGGAGAAGATGTCAGAAATGACTCCTTGCGGAGGATGTGTGTGTGTGTAATGAAGATACAAATTTTAAAATAAAACGAAAACATCATTCAGAGAATAAAGTGTCTGATTCCAGCCTGACTGTCAGATCGAATGATCTCATAGCTGCCTCTCTTCACACATCCTCCACACAAAACGAGCCGGTAACCTCAAAACAGGTTTTTAAAAGTCACCGCTGCTCAGGAAAACACACAAAATGCTCGCTTGACACAGCAGCTAAAAATTACTTTTTTCAGCAGACCGAGTCCAGAAGAAAACCTCGCTCTCAGCACAGGTTGTGTTCTGATTTTTCTGACCGCAGCAGGAACAAACGTGTTTCCCCATGACAGCTGCAGTCGTCACCCAAACGGCGCCGCATTTCTAAGGGCGTTCACGCCTCTCCACAGCGCGCGTCAGCTCACATCAACGCTGATGTAAGCCCGCAGCCTGAGCACAGACAGAGGCGCTTCCAGGGCCCTTTCTGCGAGCGCCCACCCCCCCTTAGGTCACCCCAGGAGAATCTCCGGAGCGGGAGACGGCGGTG